ATTAAAATAGAATTAATCTAGTATCATATTAAAACACATCTCTCATTAAAATAATAAAATGCCATTTTAAAAATAAAAGTGCATCTTCAGGAATGCTCTTCTCCTTTGCTGAGATCTTTTCCTCATTGCTTCTCATATTTCCCCCTTTCTTGTCTTTGGCCACTGACCAAAAAATGAGAGAGAGAAATCGAGAGAGAGAAATACAGTTGCCCCACTGTTCTCTCAGACTTGAGGTCCATGGTTTAGAATATTCACAGAGGGGCAACCTCTATTAAAATCAATGGGGCACATCCCCACAGGCATATGCCTGCACACGCCTATGGGGGCACACCCCATTCAAGCCTATAGGGCTTGAATATTGGTGAGTCTCCGTTTTTGTGGAAGGGGTCCAGCTCAGATCCCTCACAAAAATGGAGGGCCAACTGTATGTTTCTTTCTACCCCTTTGCATTTGGGGATGGATCCAAGTTGTTTTCAAGCAGCACTGTGCTGTACATATGATGATTTCATTTCAAATTGCACAAAGAGCCAAGGTGACAGATAAGGCACCCTGAAGCACAGCCCAGCACAGCGGAGAAGTATTGGGAGGGATATATTCTTTGAGTGTAAAATTAGTGCAAGTTGAATGGCAAAAAATGACAGGACAGAAACATTCTGACTAGCTCTTCTAGAGTAAAATGTTCCTAATTCACTCCAAGGGTACATTAATGTCCAACTAGAAAACAAAGAAAGCTAGGATAGAATTAACCACCAGAGACTTCCTGGGACTCCATGCTCACCCCCGTAGAACATACTGTTTGCACACAACTCACGAGTTTGACAATTCAGCTACAAATTTCTTGTTATATGCCTTCAAGTGAAGTCAAGCAAACAAGATCGTCTCAGAGGGTTTTCTTGGCAAGATCTATTCAGAGGAGGTTTCCCATTTCCTTCCTCTTAGGCTGAGAGATGTGCCTAGGGTTACCCGTTGGTTTCAGCAGATGAGCAGGAATTTGAATGCTGGTCTCTCAGCATCCTAGTCTAACACTGAAACCACTAAATAGGGATGCGAAAATCTCTGTTTTGAACTCATTGAGGTGGGTTTTTCCCCCATATCCTACCTGCATTTTGTTCCTGTCTTTCTTTTCTACTGAGTTGTGAAACAGATTATGATTCTCCACACATTAGGAAGTGCAGAGCATAATGTTCCTCATGCACAGCTAAGTGCTATTGCTGTCCCTAGAAGGCACTTTTCAAGCTGTGCAGTCTATTTATTGACTGAAGGTTTGCTGTCCTCCTTCAGCTACAAAACTACAGGCAGGACAGGTATGACTTGGTCACCTCTTCCCCTTGCTCTCCCCAGCCAATAAAGAACCATGGCAACATCTCATGGACTTGAAAGCTACCTGGAGGATGCATTTGAATGCTGCACAATGAAATAGTGAATACCTCCTTACACAACACCCAAAAATACGCATATGTAAGCCTGAGTTGTCACCAACAGGATTCCAGCCATAGTGTTTGCTTCACACACTGAAATTTGTATTTTTTTTAAAAAAAAACTTTCTAATATGCACATTGATTTGTGCAATTTCCTTAATTTATACAACTTTTCCTAATTGAGTAAAGTGTGTTTCCCATATTTATTAAAATGTGTTTTCTCCCCCAACTATGCATTTGGTCATTTGCTTTTTAAAATATGTATATTGCTTTGTGCATGCATTCTTTCTAGGATACACTACATTCTTCCTAGAAAATGCCCCAGTAATCCTTGCAATGGTGTGAATACTCAAGGCAAGGTGAACATTTTCATATTATGAGGACATGAGAGGTGCAAAATGCTACTTTCATCAAGACTTTTGAGCCCAATGGAATTTTTTTTCCATCCCCTGTATGAGCTGGCAGATCTCATGTTTGTAACTACACTTAAAATCCATCTAAATCAGCAATTCATATGTTTTGAATTACACTAAAATTGTTGCTTGGTCTAGTTCTTTATTTGCTAGAGGCCACTGGGTGGCAGTGCAAGTTCTTCAGATTACACTTGGTAAGGACAGAGAGGAAATGTAGAAGAATTTACCCAAATCCACAAATTCTGCATGCTTGGGATAGAAAAGACTTTTAAAATTGTGGATGCAGAGAAACAAAAAGAGACAGTTCCATCCATTCAGGCTTGGGACTTTTGGTGCATTATCAAAAGTCTGAGTTTGAATCTCAGCATCAACATCCAGCTATTGTTGTTATATACCTTCAAGTCAATTCCAACCTATGGTGTCCCTAGCATAGATTTTTTTGATAAATTTGATTCAACTGAGCTTTTCCATTGCAGCCTTCTTAGGCTGAGAGAGTGTGACTGGCCCAGTGTGTTTTCAGGGCTGGGGGGGAGATTCAGACTCTGATCGCCCATAGTCCTAGTCCAGCACTCAAATAGCTACACCATCCTGGTTTATAACATCCAGCCATGCTGGTGCTGAATAAGGATTCTAACCTCTCTTTCTCCAACAGCCTCCTCATCTTTAGTAACTACACAGCAGACACATAGGAAGCCCTGGTGGTGTAGTGGTTAAATGCCAGTCCTGCTGCCACAAAGTTGTGAGTTTGATCCCAGGGCTCCAAGGTTGACTCAGCCTTCCATCCTTTTGTAGGTTGGTAAAATGAGTACCCAG